CCCCCCCCCTCTGTGCCACGAGCCGCACAAGCACTGGGCCAGCAACCCACTGACGCCCATCAACCGCCGACTATGCCCTTTGACATTGGACGGTTGCCCCCGACGTACACGACAACGTGACGTTACCCATCTTCTTGTACATGATGCCGAATATGCTTCTTTACCCCGACCCATCCTTGTTCCCACCAACTGTTTTGTCGTCATCGTCCTACGGGGGGGGCCAGTGCCCAACTATTCTAGCCTTTTCTTGGCCATCGACAACGAAAGAGTGGCGTCATGGCCGAAAGTAATCCCGTAGTCAACCCAGTCCGGGATGTACAGTGGCGGGTCCACCAACATCATGGCGGGTTTCCCCATAACGACCATTTCGTCAAAATGGATTTGTTGTTCGTACAACAAATTTTGATGAGCTTTCGACCAAAAAACTCGGTTTCAATTTCGTTCAAAAAATAAAAGATGTTCATTTTGACGAAATGAAAGTTCCATCCTCTTTGTCACGACGGTGACTGCCTGAAGGATATGGCAACGAGCATCGAAACACCGATGCATGGCCGCCACCAGTGTCGGCTTCACGGTGAGCTGCACGAACAACGGCGCATCGAAATGGGAGCACAAATCATCCCCGGTTATCCTCATCAGCCACATTGACGCCGTGAGTAGAAGCCTGATAGCGTCGACGATGTTCCTTAGTGTCCGGTAGTAGATGCGCCCTCCATCGATCCCCTCCGCCAGACCGACGACGCTAGTGAAGGTGCCCACCATGCACTACATGGTCACCTCTTGGTAGCATGCCAACTCGTCGTCCTCGTGTCTGTCCTCGATGTGCGGGCCGACGAACCAAACGGGGAGCTTCATGTCCATCTCCAATGTGATGTGGCAAATAGCGGGGCTGACACACATGCGCCAGTCCTCTCCAAGCCACATGACATGGGCGATGTCCGTCGCCACGTGGTTCAGCACGTACCCGTATGCGGAGTGGTAGCCCCATGAGCGACTTGCGGACTTGAAGATCCATCCGTGGATGACGCGCAAGGCGATGCTCTGCACTTTGATGACCCTGTCTTTCGCCGCCTTCAACTGCGATTCGTTGTCAATTTTGTGATGCAAGATGCTTGAGTGAGGGAGGGCTATACTCCGATAGATCTCGGGAGTGGCGACTCCCCTGGCGATGGCCAGCAAATAAAGTCGCGTTTCCTGGATAAGCTTGAAGAGTCCATTGCCCTTCGTCTCGTTCTAGAACCTCATGTCGTCCACCCACATCTTCGTTGCAGCGTCGATCCCATCTCGTGCAATCCCCCGTCGTTGCCTGTTCACCAAAGGCTCGCCGTCGTCGCCTTCCCCATGGCTCTCCATGGCTGCCGCAGCCGCCATCGGTCTAAGTGATCCCGCCACAGCACCGCCCTGCGCATCCACCACATCTTGTCGATGTGCACCCAGGCCGCTTCCTTGCATTGCCACCTTCGCGGCCCCTCCCGCCTCCGGAACTGTTTGGGCACGTGGTGTGGCTGGGGGTGATTGCACCCGCACAGAATCTTGCCCACCAGGCGGCGCAGTCACAGGTGTCCTGGCAACGATCCCCCCAGCGCGCGCCATCTGCGGAGCTGCCTTCACTTTGACCTCCCTCGCCGCTTGACCAGTGTCGACATTGATGATGGCATCAGCCTTGCGAACCCCCTCCCTTGCGGAACAGTTTGTGTCCGCGGCTTATTTATTTACACCGCCCCTTGTGCACGCAGAGACGCTTGTCTCACAGTTTCCACTTCTGTTTTGGACACGAAGTCCTCGTCATCGTTTGCGCCCTCGAAATCCCTCACCCGTTCGTTGTCCCTTAAGGCACTTCCCCTTGAAGGGCCCTCTGCAAGAGCCTTCTTGTTCTTCGCTTGATGTCGTTCTTTCTTCACAGCCAAGGGCGTCTCCGCTTCACAGTTGTCCCTCTTCTTGCCGCGATTACCGCCGCGTGACAACATGGTGAATACGACGTGACGACGTCAACATCACCGGAGAGCGACGACGGCGTGAAGTGCGCTATGGGGTCCCCTGCGTAGGTGACATCTCCGGGGCAGTGACAATGCTGAAAAGGCCCGGTTCACGCAGCCCAGCAGTGGACAACACTGATCAGCAAAGTTGTGGAACGCACCTGATGGACGTGGGATGCGGGTGCTAGATTTGCGATGTTGGTGGTACACAGTTGCGTCGACTATGTGCAGAGATCAAAGGAGTTACTGCAGAACACGCGGACGACAGACGGGTGCCTTCAATGATGCGTGGGAGACGACTTTCTTTCAACGTCCCGGTTGGATTGCAGAGTTGTCGCTGTTGAAGATGTGTCACATAAGATGCGCGGACTTCACAGTTGTTGTCGTAGAACACAGACGTGGGAGGTGTCGCCGTCGAAGACGCGGACGGCAGGCGGGCGATAGGGCCTTGTGCGGACTTCTTGGCATAGATGGTGGAAGATACCGTTGTGGGTGATGGAATGACACGCATGGCGAGGTCGCATAGATTAGCGGAAGGTGGTTTGCTAGCAGCGGCCAGGCAATGGCAGGTGTGTGTGCAAAGGGATGACGAATGACGCGGCGACAACGTTGCGCGGCGCGAACATCAACGATGGCAGGCAAGTAATCGTTGAGGCCATTTACGTGTGGAGACAACGATGTGCGGGCGACGATACACGAGGGGGAGGTCTATGCCCACTAATGTGGACAATCTTGGTGAGGTGCTCTACCTATATAACCCCGGTGTGGGTTGTTGGGCGACGACGATACGCGTGAGCATCGACCCTTTATTTCCTTCGGCGTACATGGACAGGCGATAGCGACACGTCTGTCGTGACTTTCGTGCAGCTGGCCCTAAGCGTCCACCAGCGCGTATGCACCCACATCGCAGACCATGATTATCGCCTGATCTGCAGTCCTCCACTTTGGAATCCGTTCGTCATTGCGAAAGACGAACAAACCCCACGAGGTTGTCCGTGCAAGTGCCATCGTCCACCACCCCACCACACCCCACGCTGGACACACCCGCGCGCCTGCCAGCAAAGACAACCCCACCCATCGTGCCCCCACGAAAACAGGGCATGTACCTGCACAAACGCTCCACATCCATCCCAAAAAACACTCGCATTCGCAGAGCAATCATGCAACAGTTCTGCCCCCAACTCAAACCTCGCAACCCCCCCCACCGGGCGGCGAGCCCCCATCCACCACCCGCCCTATTTCGTTGATGTGTCCCTCTCTCCCACCGACAACATCGCTTATCAAATATTCCAATGTGTGTGTGTGTGTGTGGCCGAATAGCGCCATTTTCATTAGTGAAAGGACGAATGAGAGATAAAATTAATGAACAAAAATAGTAGACGTCATGTACTGCAAAACGTGTTAGCTCCTTAGGAAGCATGAATGTTCGCCTCCGCCTCTTGCGAGAATTGCGCACATCCATACTCCAACAGGAGGACAACATTGAAGACCGCACCTTTGTGCATCAAAAGGCATTTATGGCAGCATGCATTTTCCATCTGCCCTTCCTAAGTTCATGCAGATGAACTTGCAATTCAACACCTTTATGCAGCATCCATGCAAGCCTAAAAATCACGCAAAGTACTTAGCAGGGGACGAGTACCGGTGCTTACTCAAAATTTCAAAACAAAAAAACCCTAAGACTACAAGATTATTAACTGTCGAGTCTGTCGTCGCCAGCATCACCCCCACAGTAACGGTCATGATATCTCCGGTAAAAAGAAACAGAGACGAAAACAATAAACAACAACACAAACGCCCCCGCCCCCCCCTCGAGACATGGAGAGGCAGCCAAGAAGGCATGCTGATCAAGGACGACGGAGGGGGATGATGGGAGGATGGCTTTTCATGGAGCGTCGATGGTGACAGAAGACGATGCAAGTGGCGAAGGCCAGTCAGTAAGTTTCCCGGACAACGTCGTGAATGGCAGGACTCCCTGTTCTACCTCTCCCGTATAGCCTTCGTTATCTCCAACAGTGCTTGGCACATAAGTTTGCTCACATTGTCTGACACCGCGTAGTGCTTTCTATGCACCTCCACCTCCACTTCCAATGGCATGACTTTGCATTGGTGAAGTTGAATGGAACACTGCCTCCTGCTAGCGCTCTCCATCGTCGTCGCCATTAGCGTCCCGTGCTTCTCCATGCAGTCCGTGAGAGCTTCGAAAGTCTGCTGCCTAACGTTCTTCCTCTTCCCGAAACCGCTAGTGTTGCCCGTCACTGGTGAAGAACCGCGTCCTCATCGCCGATAGATTCAGGGCCGCTTTGAAACCCGGACGGAAGTTGCACACCACCGGAACCGCCTGTGTCGGCTACATTCTTCGGGTGTATGGTGTGACTCTTCGCGGTGGAACCCTTGATACACGGCCCGATCCATGGTGAAATTGAAACCATGAGTAGACCTCTCCTTCCCCGTCAATTGAAAGAAGTCTTGTTTCCTAGACGCCTCCTGAAACAGGTGCACCTTCTTGAAGTGCTGCATCAAGTTGTCCCATTTCTTCCCACACTTGTCGGCTGTCCTCTCCACAACAATCTTCTTTAGCCTCTCTTCAACATTCGCCCACTTCCATTCCCTCGGCTTCATGCGAGAGTAGGCGTGGCCCATTCCCTGCAGATGCGCATCCTGGTCCCACTTCTCCCTAATGAGGGTGACCATGTGGTCGAATGACTAGACGTTTCACCCGACCTCGCACTCCACACCGCCTTTCCCCTCGCTCCCTGCAGCTACCCCTTTTTTTCGCCGTCGCGCCATCGATGCACAAGCATTGCCCATCCTAGACCGACCACCCCTGGTTTTCTGTCGGATGTGCCGAACGTCGACCGTCTCGTCGTCCTGCCTATTGTTGTCCTCGACGGCGGCGTCATAATCGTCGGCTTCCACTACCGTCGGCTCCTTCTCGGTCACCACTTCCTGCACGCACAGTCGCTGGACCTCCCGCGTTATGGACTCCGACCCTGTTGCTGATGTTCCACCCACACCTGCTTCCCGACCCGCTCACCAAGACCGCTCGTGAAATCTTCATCCGTCAGCACGCAGGCAGTCGTGCCGCTCCCCTTGGTTCCACCCCCCGACAACAATGATGGTGGCTGCATGCAGTTCGGACGACCAGCAGCAGCACGTGGCGCTGATGACGCTGACGACTGCACTCTCAGATGCTCCCTTGTCTTCTCTGCTGCCACCCACTCTCCGCTCGGAGCCTTTGTTGATTGGCCGCCTGCTGTCACTTGCCCCGCGTCGTCGTTGGGGTGAGGGTTGACGAGGACAGTACGCGTGGCGACCGATGAGCTCCCGCTACACAACCTGAATGAAAGATTCCCGCCGGCTGCATTGTCCAATTGTCGCTTTCGCGCATGCTGTCTTCCAGTAGTTCGGTGAAAGATTGCTGAGACATCGTCTCACAATTCCCATACAACCGGCTCCCCGCCCACTCCTGGGTGGAACCGCTTCCTAGTGCCACAGTATGTGACCGTGCTTCCTCCGCCTCCTCATCTGACGTGTCGGGCAGAGGTTGTTCGTGCGGTGGCAGGTGCGCGTATGCAGACGGGTCATACGGCCTTGCAGTGCATGTCGGGACGCTGCACGACCCATAGCTTGCAAATCGGTCCACTGGAGTCCTGTTCTTCACCTGCCGCCCTTCCATGATGACGCCCTTCGTCGCTGAACGCCTCTTGCGTGTGCATCCAGGCAGCCTACCGAGGATGCACACGTGGAAGAAGACGACAAGGAAAAGTGTGACCAACACCAAGAACAACAGTGGTAGTCTTCGGAAGACGTCAGCCATGAACGACACGTGGGGAAGGGTGGTAAGTTGGTAACTGCACGACGCCGGTACGACTCCAGCAAATGGCGACAACACGACGACAGGAAACGGCGACGAGAACAGGGCAGCAAACAGCAGACTGGAGAATTCGACAAACGCCGTCATCATGCCACTCGTCGTGTAGCTGGGAATAAAAATCTCGGTGGCCTCAAATATTCAAAATTTTTGTCCGTTGGGCCAATTTCCATTTGACGGCACGCGCTGCGAGGGAGAACGGCTGTGGACGACATGCATGGGGTTCGGCAGGCCACCAACAGTTGCCGTGGGGTATGGTTCCTGGAGGCTGAACGTGGAAGACCGATGATGTCTGTGCGCCGCCCGGTAGGACCTGCAATGAACCAGCCGACGATAACTTCCTGCCGACGACGGGTGCCCTCACCGGTCCGATTATCGCGGATCCTTCACCTCCAAGGGACCTTGGGAGGTACCTTGGGGGAGGCCGCAAAATGGTTGTGGCCCGAGGATTCCCCGAGGACGGACCGAGGATTGTTTTTCCCCGAGGATAAGTGGAACGGAGATTTCCCTGGGGAATTTATGCACCCGAGGAGTGTCTAACGAGCCCCTCACTCTCATGCCCATAATTCATACAGGTGTAGTCACGACCTGGCGGGTAGACTAGAGCCTTGTGACCTTGTCCCAATTTCTTAAAAAAAAAAAAAAAAAGAAAAAAAAAGGGGAAACTACACAGGAGCCACAAAAATGAGTTACAATTGCACTATGGGCTAGCTTTCCCGGGGCGCCCGGCCCGGGGCCTCGCCCGGGTAGGGACCCCGCCCAGGGTACCCCGGGCATGCAAAAAATCC